AACCACCTTTTTAGTTGACACAGGTGCAGCCCGTAGTGTCCTTAGGGAACAAGACCTGCCCGACCCTTCCTTCCTATCTGACACCGATGTCTCCTGTGTTGGGGTACACCACGCAGTAACCCCCTTACCAAGCTCTTACATGTAGGTTCACACATCCTGTCCCGTTTTGTTGTTTCCTCTACTTGCCCCATTAACCTCCTAGGTGCCGATGTCCTCTCTCGGCTCCAGGCTTCCATTACCTTTACTGCAGATGGACAGGTTGAGTTGACAACCCCCTTATCACAAAAAGATACTTCTGTACTATGCTCACTCCCCATCTTGTTGAACCTAACTGACAATACAGGAAATGCACGGGTCACACACACCCCCAGTGCTCTGGATCGTATCCCCCAAGAACTTTGGTCCACCGGCCCGGATGATATTGGACGCCTACATATACCCCCCGTCCTGGTCCAGCTCCTGCCTGGAGCACTTCCTCCTCGTAGACCTCAGTATCCTCTGAAGCCAGCACAAGCTGAAGCCATCACCAAACAAGTTGAATCTCTGCTTGCCAAAGGTGCCCTCACCAAGTGCACATCTCCATGCAACACCCCACTTTTCCCTGTTAAAAAGCGCACTGTTAAGGGCCAACCCGACCAGTACCGCATGGTACAGGACCTCCGTGCTGTTAATGAAGTAACCATAAAGGACACTGCTATTGTTCCAAACCCCCATACCCTTTTGTCCCAAGTGCCACCAAATTCAACATTTTTTACTGTAGTGGATCTAGCTAATGCCTTTTTCAGTGTCCCTCTTGACCCTTCCTGACGTTTTCTCTTCGCCTTCACACATGAAGGACAACAATATACCTGGACTGTAATGCCTCAAGGAGCTCAGACCTCTCCCACACAGTTTGCTCATGCCATGTCTCTAGTTTTGGATCCCTGGCAGAAATCTCATCTGGATGTTGTTCTACTCCAATATGTTGATGACTTCCTTCTCTGTGCTCCTAATCTGCTTATTGCAGAGCGTGACTCAGAAGATCTCCTATGTTTCCTCGCTGCTGCAGGGTGCAAGGCCTCAAAATCAAAGCTACAATGGTGCCGGCCCTCTGTGGTCTTCTTGGGACATTGCCTTTCCCATGGCACCAAACATCTAACCTCACAACGGGTGCAAGCTATCCTGCAACTCCCATTACCTGCAACGCACCACTCTCTTCATGCTTTCTTGGGTCTCATCACATACTGCAGGTCCTGGATACCTGAAGCATCCAAACTCATGCAGCCACTCTATGATGCCCTCAGGAGTGAGCCCTTTCACCTCACTGAAGAAACTATTAACTGTTTCCATACTCTGAAAAGAGCTATTGCTTCTGCACCTGCTTTGGGCCTACCCAACTACCACCTCTCTTTCAATTTGTTTGTCTCTGAGAAATCAGGACATGCTTCCGGAGTCCTTACTCAGAAACATGGCTCCAGACAACGGCCTATTGGCTATTTTTCCTGCATGCTTGACCCTGTTGCAAGGGGCAGCCCCTCTTGCCTCCGTGCTGTGTTTGCCGCCAGTGCTCTCCTGGATAAGACTAATGACTTTGTTCTTGGCCATCACCTCACAGTGTTGGCCCCTCATGACATTACTGCTATCCTGCAACAAGTTCAACCCAAACACCTTTCCTCCCAACGCCACCTCCGCCTTCAAACCTCCTTGCTTTTACCTGACAATGTGAAACTCCAGAGATGCCTTACCCTGAATCCAGCCACTCTTCTGCCACTTCCCAAGGGGGGAATTGTGTACCACTGGTATAGCCTGGATATCAACCCAGAAGTTCTAGCAGATCTACAACTACCTGCACTTGCACCTCCACATGATGAACAATCAGTGGCCCTACTTCACTGTACCTTGTGGTTTAAGGATGAACCAGGCCCTGATATGAACTATGAGGAAGAAGTATTCCAACTCAAAGAAATGCAAATTACCCTGACTGACTTGTTTTGGGACCTCACAGGTACCATGCTCATCTTAGTCCACCTCCCAGAGAGTGTGACACATCTCTACCACCATTGGGAAACATCTATCCCACACATATCTTTCACCAGACCTCCCGACATCTCGTGGAAAGACCTAGGCCCGATGGCCAAAACCTGGAGTCAAATGACCCCAGAACAACTGACTTCTACGGGGGTCAACAAAAGGACTATTAATTACTGTACAGCTGGGTACCCCAGGTACCACACAGAAGCCTGTGAGGATCCACTCACCACAAACTGTGACCTCGATATCCCTCATGATTGTTTTGAACAGATGAAAATGGAAACTACACACCTACCGACTGTCTATGAAGCTGCATTACTCAATCCGGACCAAACACTATTTGTGGATGGGTCAAGATTTGCTGATGAACAGGGACAATATCACACTGGGTATGCAGTCACCACAGAATGCCAAGTATTACAAGCAGCTGACCTACAACCAACTAAGTCTGCTCAAGAAGCTGAATTGACAGCCCTAACTGCGGCCTGCAAATTGTCTGAAGGTTTACGTGTCAACATTTACACGGATTCAAGATATGCCCTGGGAGTAGCACATGACTTTGGCTTAATTTGGAAGACCAGAGGATTTCTTACGGCCACTGGTACCCCAGTAAAGCATGGGGCAGCCATTGCAGAGCTGATGGATGCATTGGAACTTCCAGCAGAGGTGGCAGTACTGAAAGTAAAAGCCCATGGAAGACTAGACACAGAAGAAGCACGTGGTAACCACCTAGCTGATCAAGCAGCTAAGGAAGCAGCACGGCAAAGATGGGAAGTGGACAGAAGAGTGGCCACAGATACATTACCTATCTACACTATGCAAACATTGCCTACAGATCTTAGGCTTCTGAAGGAACGGCAAGCTGCTGCCACTCCCCAGGAGAAACAAGGTTGGAAGAATAAAGGAGCTGTACTCCGTGATGATGTTTACACCATCAATCTCAAGTTCTGCTTACCCAGAAGTATGTACCCAGCGGTGGTACAATGGGCCCATGGGCCCGCTCACCTGTCAAAACTTCTGATGAACTCACTGATTGACAAATATTTTGAAGCACCAGGCATCACCACCTTAACACAGAATTACTGTAAATCTTGTACTATATGTGCTAAATGCAATCCTGGAAAGATTATAAAGACCGCACCTAACCACCTAGCCAAGCCACAATACCCCTTTCAGAGGATCCAGATTGATCACATTCAGATGCCAAAGAGTGGACGTTATGAATATGCATTGGTCATAGTGGACATGTTTTCAGGATGGCCAGAGGCCTTCCCAGTGACTAATCTCACCGCGAGGACTACAGCCAAGTATCTTTTGACAGAAATTGTTTGCCGCTATGGAGTTCCAGAAGTAATTGAAAGTGACCAAGGGACCTCCTTTACTGCCTCGCTAACACGGGAAGTCTGGTCAGCACTGGGGGTGACCCTTGCATTCCACACACCATATCACCCACAGAGTAGTGGTAAGGTAGAGCGCATGAATGGCACTTTGAAAGCCAGAATGCTTAAGATGTCACAAGAAACTAAAATGCCCTGGCCCGAGAGTCTCCCACTGGCACTGTTTAGTGTAAGGTACACACCTAGGGGAAAATATAGCCTATCACCTTATGAGATTTTGTTTGGTACAGCACCCAGGTTAGGTTGTTACTTTCCTCAGCAGCTTCAGATTCAGTCAGATGCTATGGTAGACTATGTGACCGCTCTCTCTCATGCCCTGACCAAAATACATGCCCAAGTGTTTTCTTCTATTCCAGATCCTGAGTCGAATACAGGTACACACAAGCTGCTTCCTGGTGACTGGGTTATGGTCAAGAAGTTTCTCAGGAAACACACCCTAGAACCGAGATTTGATGGTCCTTATCAAGTGCTCCTGATCACAGCAACGTCAGTTAAACTAGCTGGAAAGAGTTCCTGGATACACGCTTCACATTGCAAAAAAGTGCCTGCCCCAGAAGAGGCTGTTCCTGCTGAAATATGAATTTATTATGTGTCTTGTGTTTTCTTATGTTGTTGCACTTTGCTTGGGCCCAACAAGTGGCCATAACCAAAGATAATCACGTATACACTTTCTGGTACAATTCTTCTAACACTGATGTAGCCACGTACACCTTTGATTACTGTGACATAGTTACTTGTACATTTCCACAAACACAATATGCAGCCATATACAAAGACATACCTAATAAAAAGGATCCATACATTTGTGTGACCGGAGGAGCTTGGGGACACCATTGTAGTTCATGGAAAGCTGCCGGATGGAATACAGGTAGGCTGTGGGGCTACAGACCTCAGGTTGCACTGGACAGACTTGACAAGGACGGGAAGCCCCTACTTTCCAGAATGACCCTGAGTAAACCCACAGGGTCAACCCCCATTAAACTTACCCTGAACATAGAACACCCTAGCCCAAGGGACGCGGGGGAATATGTGATGGGGATGTACTGGAAGGGGGGTGGCTCACATAATGCGTTGGGGACATTTTACCTACAAGACATGCTCACCTCCTCAGACTGGGTAGGGACCACTCACATGATAATTAACCCATTAAAACCACATATTAGGACCCTACATGACATGGTAGCTATAGCCAACCCCACCTTTGAAGACACTATGGCGGTAGAGACTGGGTTCTCAGATACTAATTTGTGGCTAGAATGGATGAGGTACAATGCTAACTCACACAACAAAACTAATTGTTATGTATGTGGAGGGGCTAGGCCCCATCTGGGCACAGTTCCTCTGAGCTTACCTCCCGAGGTAGAATTATGTGTACTGAGTCTCTATACACAATCCATCACTAACTCCTCAATATGTGAATCATGGAAGAAAATCTACCCGATCACTCATGGACATGTAAAGCCACCTGATGGAGTCACCATCTACCCAGGTAACTACACATGTTATACAATACCAAAGAACACTGGTTTATATCTGGGCAAATTCCCATCAGGATACTGCTCGACTTATCATAACCCACCTACATCACTGTTAATGAATCACACAAAGACAATCGGTGATATCAATTGGTTGTGTGGTGATAAACAATTAAGGTCCCAATTAGCTGGGCAATGGTGGGGGGAGTGTGCCCTAACCAAAGTCATAATGCCCATCCATATTATTCCAGATGGTAGTCATAACACATTAAACCCCACACATGTACACTCTAGAACCAAACGAGAGACTCCTATCCGAGGGAGCTTTGACCCCCATGTGTATATCGACGCCATAGGTGTGCCAAGGGGGGTGCCTAATGAATTCAAAGCAAGAGATGAAGTGGCTGCAGGATTTGAATCCCTAATTCCAATGATAACTGCTAACAAAAATGTCAATTGGATTAACTACATCTACTATAACCAACAGCGCTTTGTCAACTACACTAGGGATGCCCTACAGGGCCTGGCAGAGCAACTGCAAGCCACTACCCAAATGACATTTCAGAACAGAATGGCCCTAGATATGATTTTAGCTGAGAAAGGGGGTGTATGTAAAATCCTCCCTGAGACCATGACATGCTGTACATACATACCAGACAACACTGGGCCCAATGGTAAGGTGACTATGGCCATAGAGAAGCTGGATAATCTTGCAGACGAGCTAAAGAAAAATTCAGGAGTCACTGACACTTGGGACAAATGGTTTGGATGGATGAATGGTTGGCAGAGGACCCTCTTCCAGGTGGGGACAGCTGTTCTTATAATGACCATCATTTTCTTATTTCTGACCTGTTGCGTACTCCCTTGCATACAGAAGTACTTACAGAAAGCAGTAGATAAGACTATAGTTGACGTGACTCCTACTTTCCTACATCAGGACGTCACAGACCTCGAAGATGACACTCCACATACACCCCTTCAAGCACATCAGTTCAAACAGACAACTGCTTTCCTGTAGGGATAGTATAGGGAAAGCATCTGTCTTGGCAGGCGAGTCTCACGTGTGGAGATGTAGTGGATTAGCCGCTGCGGGTTACCCACGGAGTGAAGTGTTCGATGCTTTCTAAGATGGATGAATTATAGGTAATTAGAAGCATATCATTAGGGATATATTAGGGACAGTAGCAGTTGTTATGGTAAATAGCCATTTTAGGGGGGACTGTTGTGGAAATAAGGTCTACACATATTTCCTAGTTAAGAGAAAATGTCTATTTACTCATTTCACAATATGTTATAGAGTTAAGCACACATGTTTAATCAAAATGGCTGCTAGAAGCTTCTAGCCCCTCCACCCTCTTCCCCCCTCCCTCCCTTCATAACACCAACTAACTACCTCGTGCAACAAGATGGCGCCGGGAAACCGTGGGAGACCCTCATGGCCCCGGTGACATCACCTATAGTAGGCAGAGCATTAGAGCAACCACTTAACACCTAACCAATTATTGATGTATTATCCCATGTTATCTCTGACAATGCTTATGATGTAATTTTGCTTTAAAAGGGACCTGCCGTCCCCCCTGAATAAACATTCCTCAAGTTATTCAACAACCTGGAACCTGTGTCTGGTGTGAATTACTTCAGGGAGCGTGCACGCATTGTTTCATTGATTTGGCCAGGGGCAGATACACAAAGAAATAATCAATACTTTGATTGATTTTTCCCATTTCAATCCCCAACCTCCCAATAACCGGACGAGACACAGTTTTGGGAGTCAACTCAAATCCTTTTAATCGGCAGGACAATTTATACAAGTCCCCATGCAAGGGGTTTCCTGAGTCCCTCCCCAGGGGCACTCCCAGAGGGGACTACATGGGGGACTTACATGACAACATATTTCTCCCATCAGGCACCGCTGCACGAGAGGGATCATTCTCCCAGAATGCACCGTTAAGAGGATTATCCCCTCGTGCAGCAGAACCGACAATTTAAACAAAAATACATAACTTGTTAAATACACGGTGGATTTACACGAATGGACGTTCGGTAGATAGCTGGGGTCTGAGCGCATCATTCGTGACATTACCGCTCAGATCCCAGCTAAAATAACCGAACGCCGCACGAAAAACACATTTCTTTTAAAACATACGAAAAAGACCGATTGCTTTTAGTGAACACGATCCTGAAACTCCCGAACGTCCTGGAGGCTCAGCGGTGTTCGTGCCGTCGAATAGCTATTGGTAGTACAAGCAAAAGAAAGTAGAAATAGAGCCAAATCAAAGGTACACTTTTAAAGAACGGGGGTAACCCCAAATCTAACATAGCAAGAAAAACAAATAGTGTACCTATATGTAATAAATATAACAAAACAAAATAGCTACGGTAATAGGTATATCAGTCTCAGACAAATATGCTGAGAAGATATACTATTAAACAAAGTATACCACTAATATATAATAAAAAAAAATTGGTAGTACTATGCGTTCGACGACCCGGCCCCGCTGAGGAACAAAGGATCCAAGATGGCCGACCGCCGCATGGTCGGTAGTCGAACGACGGCCACCCAGGAGAGCCTCTAATAACCGATTGCAACAATGTTGCAATCGGTTAACTAGCGCCACACGCCTCTAAGTGTGTGGGCTATTAGGGGTTATCGCGTTCGGTTCACGAACGGCTTTCTAAAGTGCCGTTCGTGAAACGAAAGAAAATCCCCATACAAAACCGCCATTTGCATTCGGCGGAAACAGCAATTACAGGCAATGCAGAGGATACATTAAGTATACATAGAAGAGTAAAGCGCATATCTCCCCAGACCTATAGGCAACCCTTAAAGGCATAGTCTCTAGTTATAGTCCAAGTGGCTAGGTTTGCCACAAACAGGTCCTTTAGTTCTTTCTCACTTTCAGCCATCAGAGTAGTATCATCCGCGTATCTGAGGTTGTTGATATTTCTTCCAGCAATATTGATTCCAGCTTTGGATTCATCCAGCCCAGCCTTACGTATTATGTATTCTGCATATAGGTTAAATAAATAAGGTGACAATATACAACCTTGTCGCACTCCTTTCCCGATCTTTAACCATTCTGTTGTCTCATGTTTGGTTCTGACTGTGGCTTCTTGGTCCATATACAGATTCCTCAGGATGATCTGGTACTCCCATCTCTTTAAGAACTTGCCACATGTTGTTGTGATCCACACAGTCAAATGCTTTAGAATAGTCTCTGAAGCAGAAGTAGATATTTTTCTGGAACTATCTGGCTTTCTCTATTATCCATCGTACATTGGCAATTTGATCTCTTGTGCCTCGTCCTCTGCGGAACCCAGCTTGTACATCTGTTTTTTCCTGGTCCATTGTTTGAGTCAAGCTTGTAGGATCTTAAGCATAACCTTGCTGCCATGTGAAATAAGTGCAATTGTTCGATAATTGGAGCACTGTTTGGCATTGCCATTTTTGGGGATTGGGATGTAGACTGACCTTTTCCAGTCTTTTGGCCACTGTTGAGTTTTCCAAATTTGTTGACATAAGGCAAGCAGAATTTTCACAGCATCATCTTAAAGAATTTTGAATAGTTCAATTTTTTTATTTCATCAACTCCTGCAGCCTTGTTATCTGCAAGGCATCCTACGGCCCATCTCCCTTCGCTCTCCAAGATTTCTGGTTCCATCTCATTGGACCAACTATTGGGGTCATTATTGCTGTTAAGATCCTTCCTGTATAAATCTTTAGTGCATTCCTGCCATCTCTTCTTTATCTGATCTTTTTCTGGTCCCTGCCATTTTTGTCTTTTATCACACCCACTTTGGCTTGAACGTTAACTATGGTGATATACTGAGGTTTTTAAAGCTTCTATTTTTAATAATTTGCACATCTCTTTCATAAGGTGAGAAACAAAAGGAGTGCCATGATCAGTAAAGGGATGCCTACACATGTACCAGCTTTCTGGCTATTTTTAGCATTACCTTTATGTAAGGGAATGGCTTCTTGGTATCAATTGGCATCATCTAAAATAACCAATATACTGTATTGGTGTCAGACTTTTTTAGTGGTCCTATTATGTTCACACCAATCCTTTCAAGAGGCATATCAATAATCCGCATAAATATCAGGGAAGCCCTTAGGTTTGGCTTTGAAGATGCTAACTGACACTTTGGGCAGGAAGCACAGTGTTTTCATTGCCTCATAACCATTGACGAAAACAATCTTCTTAGAATCAGCTCCTGGGTTTGCTCTACTCCTAAGTGTCCACCTAATACATGTGCGTGAGTGAAGTCCGTTTTGGTTTGAGAGGACAGAACCACTAACTGCTCAACTTCCTATCCTTACATTTACATATATTTATATATATATATATATAGAAGGCGTATGCCTGTAATTGTGGGAGGGATTTAGGCCTATTTAAACCCAAGGAACCCTAACTTACCTGTCTTCGTCGATTCCGGAAATCCGTCTCCTCGCTTCCGGTACGCGCAGACCTCTGACGTCACTTTCCCGCGTCGCTCGGAGAGAACGCCCAGCGTCTCAGTGAACGCTCTCACGAACGGCTCCATTCGGCGATTTCCCACGTAACTGAATTCAATTTCGTCATTCGATACTACCAATTACGCAGGTTTTCACGTTCACGGTCCGGTTAGTAAATTCAAAAAAAAAAAAAAAATAAATAAATTCTGCTAGCAATTTCGCCTAGTTTATTCCTCCTATTTTTTTTTTGCAATAGGTGATTCAGCTCGGGTAAAAAAAAAAAAAAATATACCACCGACCAAACAAACTCTTTAGTGCATCTCGAGTACGTACCAAGTTCGCATACAGGTAAGGATAACGAACGTTTAATTTATTTCTTTTTCGTACGTATCGTCCCTCATTGTTTAGGTGGCTGGCTGTTAAGGTCATAGCATCCCAGTAGTGTTAAATCTCATCCCGGCTCTCTCGCCTTAAAATAGTGGTCCCGCGAGGCCAACACCCATCCTCAATTCAGAGGTACTACGTCCCTCGGGCCAATCCATAGGTAGCCGCCTCGCACGTGGCATAGAGAGGGCCTCACCTGTCACTCCCATTCTATCTTATGACTACGACTCATCGAGAGGCCAACACCCCGCCACAACGTTCGGTGGCCACGAAATTCCCTCGCGCCAACTCATAGATAGAGCCTCTCAAGCCGCTTGGCACTTAGCAGGGCCTCACCAGTCACCGACTTAGTGTAATTGTTTCGCCGCGGAGCGGCACTAGCTAGTCAGCCAGCACACTCACTCACTTATTAAAAAAAAAAAAAAAAAGTTTTTTTTTTCCCTAACATAACGTCTCCTTTCACGCCCATAGCATGTCTAACGATTCAGTTCAAGAAGAAGACCTGTCACTTGCCAGCACTCCCTCCAGACCTGGCAATCAGCCTAGACAGTCCAGTACGATGTCCAACTACAGATCCTGGACTGTCCCAAAAATCACTGCTGAACTGAATAAAAGAAACATTCCTTTTCCGGCTACAGCCAGAAAAGCTGAACTTTTCCGCTTATTAAACTCGCAAGACATGGAGTTACCAGGCCCTAGTTCCGATTCTATGATCCAAAATAGCTTGTCAGAATTACGTAATATGATGACCTCCCTGGTGGCTTCAGTGGCTACCATAAATAACAGATTAGATAATCTGGAAACCTCTTGTCAAGCTAGCATTCCGGAAGTACAAATCCCACTAGGACAACCAGAAACAAGCTCAGGAGGTAACTCCAATCCATTCCCTGCTAAAACATCTAATATAATCAACCCAGTACATTTGATACCACAAAACTTAAAAAGAGATATACTAGAAGGGAAAGATGTTAATCTAGCCTCTCTCCTCATTGCCTCACAGGATATAATCGAAAACAGAGCCTATACTTTCGGCGATATATCCGTGGTAATGAAAGCTAGAGATCCTAGGCTCAACAAAAAACTTAATATTCCTGAGTTTGTGCTAGCCTTTGGCTTATATAGAGACGTAATTTGCACTGCCTTCCCACACCGTAGAGAAGTGCTGGATCTATATCTGCACAAACTGGTGGAATTAGCCTATAAATACAGGGGGTA